TGCTGGCTGTCTCTGTAAATCATCAATATGTGTATGCTGTATGTGTGTGTTTCAGATGCTTCTCGGGTTGCGTCGCCGCCGCAAGCCATCGATGTGGGCCTTAAACCGAGCCTCCGAGTGGTGGGATATTGTAGTCCCAAGCTTCAACAACACGCAGTGGGTGCAGAATTTCCGCATGTCCAAAGAAACGTTTGATTACCTCTGCACAAAGCTGCGCTTGATTATGGAGCGACAAGACACTACTTACCGGGTATGTGTGCCTCTAAAGAAGAGAGTGGCTATCGCACTCTGGAAACTTGCTACTGGCTCTGAGTACCGAAGCATTGGTCACCTTTTTGGAGTCAGTATAACAACGGTGTGCCGCTGTGTGCAAGACTTTTGTGCTGCAGCAAATGCGGTGTTGGTCCCAGCGCAGATCCGTTGTCCTACTGAGGAGAAATTCAGGGAGATTGCTGCCTACAACGAGAACAGACGGGGGGTCCCACACTGTGTTGGTGCCATTGATGGATCCCACATCCCTATCATGGCTCCACAGGAATGTCATTGTGACTATTTCAACCGCAAAGGGTGGCATTCCATTATTCTCCAAGGTGTGGTTGATGGAAAGGGGTTGTTTTGGAACGTGTTTGCCGGATTGCCTGGGAGCTTGCATGATGCCAGGGTCTTGAGACTCTCTAACTTGTGGGAGTTAGTCTGCCGGGGAAGCCTCTTCCCAGCTCACACAAGAGAAATTGGTGGGGTGACTGCTGGCTATTACCTCCTAGGGGACTCCGCTTACCCCCTGCGGAACTGGCTCCTAAAACCTTTTCAGGACACCGGACGACTGACAGACGAACAGCAACTATTCAACAGAAAATTCAGCAGAGGGCGGGTGGTTGTTGAAAATGCTTTCGGCAGGCTTAAAGGAAGATGGCGCTGTCTTCTGAAAAGGAATGACTCTGACACTGAACTGGTAAAGTCTATGGTGCTGGCTTGTTGTTGTGCTCTGCACAATCTGTGCGAAAACCATGGAGAGACCTACGTGACAGAATGGGACACACCTGTAGCAACAGTTCAGCCTGTGGTAGCAGTGGCACAGGGTGCAGATGAGGGGGGCAGTGATGTTAGGGAGGGTCTGATGCGTCACTTTCTGTCCAATGTCTGAACATTTTGCCTGTTTTGGAACAACAAATAAACCTTTTTGTATTCAGCAAAAATGCCTTCTATTCATATTTCACTCCTGGGAAAGTACAGGTATTACTCATATAGGTCACATTACAGTCACCACTCACCGAACAGTCGCAGGAATATGCCATCTGCTGCAGATGCTTCCTGGAATACTCACAATGAAGAGCAATAATCCTAAATAAAATCAATATCCAAACAGTTATTCAAATCAATATCCAAACAGCCCACAACCTGGGCCCATTTAAACGCAGAGCTTCTAAAGTTCACTCCCAAAAACAAACTCAATTATGCAAATGACTTACAGGAATTGACACTACCCAACACGATGTCAAGACTTTGCATTTTCTCCAGATGCCAATTTCTGGACCCAAATCCGCAACATTTACTTTATGGCCAAAAACTCAAACATACAACTCAAAGTCCTCCATAGATACCACTACAGAGACCGCTAACTTTTAAAAATGGGTTTCAGCACTTGCTCGCATTGCACAAAAATAGTGCTGATAACATTAATATAGATATGGATGTTAATAGCAATAATGAGAAACTCAAGAGGGCAAGTGGAGAGGTCCAACGCACCACTAGAACAGGACACAATGTAGTGCAAGTATTGACAGTCATAATGGATTCATTTTTTGTGCTGTTACTTGTTTTGTCATTGTAACCTTTTGGTGGGATATGCATGTATGTGTTCATGTATATGCAGAGAGCCAATATTGCATATTATTGAAATATTAATTCATAAATTTTCAATCATACACCCATTAACCATTTCCACCATTACAAATACCTTTATTCCCTTTCAGATTTGGATCAGCCACTCGCACGTGCACACACAAACTCTTTATCGTGCCTTTCTTACCCACTTTCCTAGCTTATTGTATTGTAACCAACACTGTACATTATCAGTAGTCTGTATTGTTCCCTGTAGGCTCCTCACTTAAATAAATAAACCTTCTATTCCTAAATTTACCACAATTAAGGATTTACTGACAACAAATAATGTGAAACCTTTGGTTTGCATGTTAACTCATGTGTACCGAGAAATGAAACCTGGCTTGGAAAAAATCACACATTTATTTAAAAAAAACAAAATTTTAAAGTGCACCAATAAAATTATTTACAAAGTGTCTTGGTGAAGAGTGTCTTGGTGAAGTGTCAGTTTCGGCGGCCACTCATGGCTTCCACCAGCTGGCCCAGGAGACCAAGAAATGATTGGTTAAATGCAGCCGCCTGTGCATTTTCCTCCCTCCTCAATGTCGCTTCCAACTCTTGCGACTCTCTGACGAGCTGGAGTTGCTGTGTCCGGTTCAGCTCCTGCTGCACCACATCTTCAGCTTGGATCTGCCTCATCATTTCTACAGTCTCCGTCTGGAAGAGCGCCCTTTTTCTCTTCCCTGTACAACAATAAAAAAAGTATTAACAGTTGGTAATTATCCAAAGCAGTGACATTTCTGGAGACATACTTTTATGTAGGCAAAAAGATTATTACGTTTCAGACCAGTATATATCACACTACCCGAGATTTTGCAACAACTACCCTTTCAAAGAGGAAAAACCTCCACTTAAAGTGTTACGTGTGGGATCATTTGACTTAATTGCAAATCGGGTAATGTTTGTATGTCATGTATCACGCTTTGTCAATAAACAATATTTAATGGTCAATGTTTAGGCATTTTAGGACAAAGCATGAGCATGACTTAAATACACCCAGATTAATCAAATCAGTCAGTGCAGCTAAACTTACATTTCGCTGCATTTCTTTTTCACACCAAAGTGAAGTGGTATTGTATCACAAATTAGATTTTTTATTTGGAAAAAGATCACTGACAGGTGGTCCGATTCCTTTTTTATTGACATTCTCTAAAGCTAGGGTGATAGTGTCCAAACTATGCATTAATTGGACATACTTCACCGAGTTGAATGCAATTACTTCTGAGATCCACCAGGTGTCGGTATAGAGCTGCACTGTTGCGGCACAGTATCAATGTAGTTGTATTATTTTTTTTTTGCTGCTATAGAACATGAATTTCTCCCAGGGTGATGAATAAAATATCTATCGATCATGTATTATGTTTGCCTTACCCGTGACCACACGCTGTGCGCTGCTAGACGTGTCGCTCGCTATCGAAGGGAACGCATCAGGCGTCGAAGCAGCAGCTGGTTCTGGAGGGATTGGAGACGGGGACCTTGGGGGGTCGTTCGACGCTTCACTTGCGACAAGGGATTCTATAATAAGACAAACACACACAACGACTTAAGTAAAAGCACAAAACTGAATGGCAACACGTGAAATGGCAAGATGTAGCACGTGTTAGCAGCTTGCTATCGATAGCTTAAAGTAGCTAGCTCACTTTGTACAGCAGACAACAATCAAACGTTTACATGAATAAATACATTCCAGTGAGCATTGAGCCACAGGTTACGTGATAATGCATTTTCACAATAACTACAGATAAAAGTTACAAAGCACTTACCATTATCGCCCATTCTCGACGTGGAAGAAGAGTCCAGAGCACACTCCCGTCCATTGTTTGCAGGCCTGTGGCCATAAATGGCATCCATCTCGGCATACCACCTCCAGGTCTTCCGATTGACCCCACTTTGGCCGTTGTGGTCCTTTATGGCCCGGTAATCGCACTTCATCTTCTTAATCTTGTCCCTGCACTGCTGATGCGTACGGTGGTAACCGTGTGTTAGCAAGAGCTGGGCGATCTCTTTATAGACCTTCTCATTTCGCGTACTGCCATCGAGCTCCTTCTGTATTCTGTCTTCGGCCAGTAAAGACAGAAATGTTTGGACCTCATCAACAGACCACGGTGTGGACTTTTGCGGCTTGCTGGATTCCATTTCTCGAGTGCAGTGCGCATGCTCACAGGGCAGTTTTAAAAATGGCGGGGTTGAATCTTGTCTCTCAATACGGTCAGACGTCGCACTTATGACGCTACCAGTGACGACAGTCGTTGGCCAATAGTGTGAGAGAGCCGTTGGCCAATAGCGTAGGCAGTCCGCTTACGTCACGAGCGTGTAGCTTTTTGGAACCGCTCCAGAGGCGGTCCGAAAATAGAACACAATACCTAGCTTCAACGCTAGTGGAAATGCAAAAGTAACGCGCCGTGTCGTGTAGAGTGGTGTAGTGCCGGTGCTGTGGAAAAGCGCCATATGGGTCCCATTCTGAACGGCCCTGTCAAAGGGACCCACCAGGTAACAAAAACGTGTGTGTGTGTGTGTGTGTGTGTGTGTGAGAGTGTGTGTGTGTGCGTGTGGCTGAGATATGACAGCGCCTCAGCAGAAGCTTTGAGATTACAAACATATGGAGGATTTATGGAATCCATGAAACCAACGCAAACAGGGAAAACAGGATTAAACACCGTCGAGATAATCTGGTGTCACTCTGTATTTAGCTTTTTGTAATGGACTGGGGAAACTGGAGACCAGAGAGAGACCAGAGAGAGACCAGAGAGGGACCAGAGAGGGACCAGAGAGGGACCAGAGAGGGACCAGAGAGGGACCAGAGAGACCAGAGAGGGACCAGAGAGAGACCAGAGAGAGACCAGAGAGAGACCAGAGAGAGACCAGAGAGAGACCAGAGAAGACATTGACACCAGAGAGAGATTAGAGAGAGACTAGAGTGTGAGAAGAGATAGTCTTTCTTCTCACACTCGAGAGTGAGAGACCAGAGTGAGAGAACAGAGAAAAACCAGAGTGAGAGACCAGAGAGAGACCAGAGTGAGAGACCAGAGTGAGAGACCAGAGTGAGAGAACAGAGAGAGAGATTAAATCCTCCAGTTTCCTCTAATCTTTTGTATAATTTTTCTTTTGAAATGGATGATATGATGCGGGGAAAGATCGGGATGAAGGGGAGGAGCGTGAGCCTCAGAGAAGGACGGGCTTTTTACAAATCTGCACTTTTTCTGGAGCGACTTCAGCCACAGCAGCGAGAGGGAGGACCGAGGGAGGACAGAGGGGGAGACATGAGGGAGACATGGGGGAGACATGGGGGAGACCCGGCCGCCTCGCTGCGCCCTGAGCGTCCGCTGACCCAAGGAGTCCCGATGGAAGACCACGAGATTATGGAGATTTGAAGCGGATCAGAAGCCGGGATTAAGCAGCGGAAGGAAAGAGAGAGACCGGCAGGAGCATGAGGCGCGGGAGGCGGGCGTCTCTGGCGCTAACGCTAAACTTGGTGGCGTTTGCGTTCGCGCTGTCGGCAGTCACCACCAGCTACTGGTGCGAGGGGACCAGGAAGGTGGCCAAGCCCTTCTGCACGGGCCCCCCCCTGAAGGCCAAACAGTGGTACTGCATCCGCTTCAACAGCTCCAATGTCAACGACTCGCGCCTCGTGCAGTACATCTTCGAGACCGGAGAAGAGAAGTTCCTGATGCGGAAGTTTCACACCGGAATCTTCTTCTCCTGCGAACAGGCCGCAGACATGAACGGTACAACAGGACGTAACCTTTAACTGGTCTCTCAATGGTCTCTCTATGGTCTACCTCTGGTCTTTCAATGGTCTCTCTATGGTCTACCTCTGGTCTACCTCTAGTCTCTATGGCCTACCTCTGGTCTACCTCTGGTTTCTATGGCCTACCTCTGGTCTACCTCTGGTCTCTATGGCCTACCTCTGGTCTACCTCTGGTCTACCTCTGGTCTCTATGGCCTACCTCTGGTCTACCTCTGGTCTACCTCTGGTCAACCCCTGGTTTCTATGGCCTACCTCTGGTCTACCTCTGGTCTCTATGGCCTACCTCTGGTCTACCTCTGGTCAACCTCTGGTCTACCTCTGGTCTACCTCTGGTCTACCTCTGGTCTATCTCTGGTCTACCTCTGGTCTCTATGGCCTACCTATGGCCTACCTCTGGCCTACCTATGGCCTACCTATGGTCTACCTCTGGTCTCTACGGTCTACCTCTGGTCTACCTCTTTTCTCTCTCTGTCCTGTGTCTGGTCTCTCTCTGGTCTCTCTCAAAGCCGGGGTACGTATCTAACTTTCCAACCGCAGTATTTTTTTCAGACAGAAAAGTGACAGAGAGAGGACCACCCTCACTCAGCCAATCAGCTCTCAGCCCAAAGAGCCAAATAGTGACTCACAGGGCTCATTATTACACAAATGATGTTTTCTTTCATGTTTTCTTACATTAAGACATTGTGTTTGGACAAAGAGAGAACAGAGAGAGACCAGAAAGAAGCCAGAGAGAGACACAAGAGAGAGACCAGAGAGAGAGAGAGAGACCAGAGAGAACCACATTGTAAACCATTTGTGTCTCCACAGGATTCGATTGTCGATATTTCTCAGAGATCGCTCCAGAACATGAACGAGGTGAGTTTCTGCTTCAACAGGTTTTCACTTTTAATATTAATATTCAGAGTATTTTAAAAAACACCTATTATTGAGAGTTCGTCATCCGAGAGCTCAGTTTTAAAGCTTTGGTTTTTCCACATGTGTTTTTAGATCAGCTTTTTACAGACAGAAAATGACTCGGAGAGGTCCATGTTCCCTTGGCCAAGCAGCTCTCAGCCCAAAGAGTCAAACAGTGACTCACAGGGATCTTTTTTATACAACAGATCTTCAAGACAAAGACGGTTGCATAAGTCAATAGGAGCCAGACTTCACCATGAGCACTTCCCTATTGGGCTTTGTTGAGCTAGCGTTAGCATTGTCCATCTGTATAAAGTATACTTTATGGTTTCTCTCACATGTCTCTCACTCTCTCTCTTTTATGGTGCTGTACTCCCTGGTCTCTCTCTTGCAGGTGTCCTGTACCTGTGTATAGTGGCAGAGTCCCTGTACCTGTCTCTCCTCTTCACTGGTCTATCTCTCTGGTCCCTGGTCTGTCTGGTCTCTCTGGTCTCTGGTCTCCCTGGTCTCACCTCCCTGGTCTCTCTCTTGCAGGTGTCCTGTACCTGTGTATAGTGGCAGAGTCCCTGTACCTGTCTCTCCTCTTCACTGGTGGGTTCCTCATGGTCCTGGAGCAGTGTCCGTGCTTCAGTCTCATCAACAAACTGAAGCTGAGTGCCTTCGCCGCTCTGTGCACCGCCGCCTCAGGTAACACAGCTGTCAGAGCACTGAGGCTAAGCAGCACAAGGCAGGGCAGGACTGGGATGGGAGACTGCTGTGATAAACTGGGGACTGTGGATATCTGGCAGATTATGGAAATGATAGATTCAGTCAGTGAGATTGAGTGTGTGCCTCTGATCAGGAGCTTTGGGTCGTGACTGAAAGGACGAGATTGTGGATAGGTTTGAAATAGAGCTGCTGCTCCCTTGGAGAAAAAGTGAGGAGCTCAGTCACATGGTAGGGGCTCATGGAGCTGCTGCTACTGAATGTGGAGAGGAGTCAGTGGAGGTGGCTTTGTTTGGGAGGTCTCCTGGTCTGCTCCCTGAGGAGGTGTTTTGGGCACGTCCCACAGGAGGAGACCAGGGGAAGACCCAGGACACTGAGGGACTGTGTTTCAAATTCCCCCAGATGAGGTCTGAGTCTCTGCTCAGACTGCTGCCTCTGTGACCCGGAAACAGATAGAAAGAAAGGGGCAGTGATTACTACATACTGTATCTGTGTATCTGAGAGAGACCTGAGAGAGACCAGAGAGAGACCAGAGAGAGACCAGAGAGAGACCAGAGAGAGACCAGAGAGAGACCAGAGAGAGACCAGAGAGAGACCAGAGAAAGACCAGAGAGAGACCAGAGAGAGGCCAGAGAGAGACCAGAGAGAGACCAGAGAGAGACCAGAGAGAGACCAGAGAAAGACCAGAGAGAGGCCAGAGAAAGACCAGAGAGAGACCAGAGAGAGACCAGAGAATGAGCAGATCCGTGTGTAGCTGAGGTGGTCGGCCTCTGTCCGCTGAGGTCGGCGGTGAAGTGGCGGTCGCTCGGTGCAGGATTTGTGTTTGTGGATTAATCCGATTGGAGCTCTGTCAGGAGCACCACCCCCTCCTCCTGCGGGATAATCCCAGAAAGAGCATCACCAGGCGGGCAGCGAGGAGCACACAGGGGCCGAGACCTCCAGGGGACCAGAGAGAGACCAGAGAGAGGGACCAGAGAGAGACCAGAGAGAGACCAGAGAGAGACCAGAGAGAGACCAGTGAGAGGGACCAGAGAGAGACCAGAGAGCCACCTCAGATGGCTCCTACAGTGTGACTGAGCTCTTCACTCTTTCTCTGAGGGAGTGACCAGGAGCCAACACAAGGATGATCTGAAGGGTCAGACCTCAAACTGAAACTTTAGAATAATATTAATGATGTTTAGTCCTGACTCTAGGACCAGCAGGAGGCCAGTCCCTGTGCTCCTCAGAGTCCCAGCAGGAGGCCAGTCCCTGTGCTCCTCAGAGTCCCAGCAGGAGGCCAGTCCCTGGTTCTTTCTGTCCCTGTGCTGCAGGTCTGTGTGGGATGGTTGCTCACATGATGTTCACCACAGCGTTCCAACTCGCCGTCGCCATGGGACCAGAGGACTGGAGACCCAAGACCTGGGACTACAGCTGGTCCTATATGTGAGACACACAGACACACAATTAGACACACACAAACACACACACACACACACGCAAAAACACACACACACACACACAGACTATTAAAACATACTTTAATTTTTTGTAGCTTAGAAGTTAGTTTCCCAGGTTCACCATCTCACCCTCTCTCCTCACTCCAGTGTACTCTCTCCTCACAGTGTGCTCTCTTCTCAGCCTGGCCTGGGGCTCCTTCGGGACCTGTATGGGCTCCGCGGTCACGGCCCTGAACCGTTACACCAAAACCATAGTGGAGTTCAAGTACAAGCGGAGAAACATCGCCAAGAGCCTGGTGTTCAAACAGAGGCTGCTGGAGCTGGACCTGCCGGACCACCTGTGGGACCAGTACGACCCAGACCTGGACCAGGACCAGGACCAGGGGAGCCACTTTGACCTGCAGCTCAATGGACACAAGCCTCCCACGGGCAGCGACTTCCACCTGCGAGCGGAGATGGAGGGCCTGTCGGAGGAGTACTGCTGAATGTGACTTCTGCTGTTGCTAGCGGAGGCTAATCACTCAGACTCAAACTGATAAAAGGGGTTTTCTAGAATCGTATTTATGACTCGGCAATTAAATTAGCCAGAAGTCATAGACAAGATTGCTACATTCTGCTTAGACCCCTGGTGCTGGGAGGAGAAGGGTTGAAGAGCTGTTCTTGCTGATGCGGCGGCAATGGGGAGGAGGAGGGTTGCTGCACAAATGACAGATTTGAAAGCTGGATGCAGGGGGAGGACTGAGAGCAGTGAGCTGGAGCACACGTCTCTCCAGTCTGAACTCCAGGACTGACACTTATGGAGGTGTTTTGCCCAGAGACAAGTTGGCGTTCAGATTCTGGTCTCTGTCACGTGGTGCATGAAGAAAAAGGGAACCCAAAATGCAGGACTGAAAATCAAATGTAATTTAATAAAAATCGAAATCCAGAGAGACAAAGGCACAAAAATCCAGAACTGAAAAACTAGACAAGACAAACTTGGTAGAGACAATGGACGGACAACAAGTGGGGAAAAGCACAGGGTATATATACACACACAGGAGACACAGGTGGATCTCATTAGGGCGGGGCTAACAATCAACAGGACACACTGGAATCAGGAAAACTCAAAATACAAGAGAACTAAAAGTAAATAAAACCAGGTTAAAATAATCCAAAAAGTCCACACCATGACAGTCTCAGGACGAACCTTCAGGATGCGTTCAGACACGGCCCAATTGAACTGAACTTTTGATGCACTAGAGACTAAACAGGACACAGATATACTGTATCACCGGTGAATATTTAGTCAGAAGCAATCATTGGGCTGAATGTGTCTCATGTGTTGACTGTATCCAAACACATCAATTCTACCACAGAAATGTACTGAGGCTCATGAGGTTCTTGTAAGGTTCTTCTGCCCTCTCTCCCCTCTCTTTGGTCTCTCTCTGCTCTCTTCTGGTCTCTCGGGTCTTTCTCTCCGATCCTGGTCCCTCTCTGGTCTCTTCCTGATCTCTCTCTGTTCTCTCTGTGTGGAGTTTGCATGTTCTCCCTGTGTTCTGAATCCTGGTGTCTGACCCCAGCTCAGTATTGTTCAACAGGACGTTTACGACATGTCGAACGACGCTACAAGATTTTCTATTTTCTGTTTGTGTAATCAACAAAAACAGACTACATGGATTTTTTCATAATAAAATCTCACAAATAAGTGTCTTGACTAAGGACACAACCACAGTTTGGCACTTTACGGCAGCACCCGTCCCACTGTGGCCCCTGGTGTTCCCAGAGGACTCCCATCACAGCACTAACTCAGCTGCTGCTCAGCTTCCAAGGTCGGAAATATATGGCTTTCACCTTCAGGAGGCGCCAATATTATTGCATATTTGACTTCAGTCCTGGGTCTACGGCCTCAGTCTTGGGTCTACAGCCACAGTCCTGGTCTACAGCCTCAGTCCTGGGTCTACAGCCTCAGTCCTGGTCTACAGCCTCAGTCCTGGGTCTACAGCCTCAGTCCTGGGTCTACAGCCACAGTCCTGGGTCTACAGCCTCAGTCCTGGGTCTACAGCCACAGTCCTGGGTCTACAGCCTCAGTCCTGGGTCTACAGCCTCAGTCCTGGGTCTACAGCCACAGTCCTGGGTCTACAGCCTCAGTCCTGGGTCTACAGCCTCAGTCCTGGGTCTACAGCCTCAGTCCTGGGTCTACAGCCACAGTCCTGGGTCTACAGCCTCAGTCCTGGGTCTACAGCCTCAGTTCTGGATTGCTGCAGATTGGCAGGAACTGGAACTCTGAAAATACTTTGCCAAAAATTTTTTTTTAAACATTTTATTGTTTGTTTGGGACACATAATTCCACAGAAAGAAGTGGAACTGAAAGAACACGGTTTGACACAAATCGCCAAACATCCAACAAACTCCACCAGAAATCCACCAAAGAAACACATTCAACAGAGAGTGTAGAGCAGGGGTCTCAAACTGCGGGGCACAGACCACACTGATGCATAGGAACGTGTTCAAGTCCTGGTTTAGTCCTTTCTGGTTGGGACTGGGTTGAGTGGGATTAGTTCATGTTAAAGCTAGGATACCTAACTTTTAAGCAACGTGAGACAAAAACCAGAGAGAGAGAGACAAAAGAGAAGAGAGAACAACCAGAGAGAGAGACGAGAGAGAAAACAGATCAATTATTCAAGGGTACCCAAAATTTTTTCATCTAGTTTTGTTTTGGCATTCACTCTTGAGTTGGAAGCATCTGTGAAATATTGTGTATGTTATTGGTAATAAATATATATCCTCTTAAACCCACTTTAGTCATGGTTTAGTTCTGGTCTAATCTCGCTACAGTTTGAGAACCTCTGCTTTTTATCAACAGACACAGACAGAGACAGATGTGACAGATTTCCCAGCTGACAGCTCCCCCCGCTGGTTCAAAGCCTGAACTGCATTTGAGATTTGTTTTCCCACACAGAGCAACACACTTCTCATGGCTGGGTACGAACTCACATCCTCCTCTGCAGTGCACACACAGACCTCAGGGGGCGCTGTCCTCTGAGCTCCTGCAGACATGCACTGACGGCACTCGTTTGACAGGGCTGCTCCCAACCAGGTTTGAATCAGACTTTTGTGCTTTTGTAATGAGAGTGCAGAGATACACCGATGTGGCTTTGACTGAGGAGAGTTAAAGCTGGGGTAAGGATCTTTCACACTACGTCCCTGCTTCAAAACAGGTTGCATCTATTTATCACTATCATCAGAGCGAGACCAGAGAACGACAAGAGCGAGAGGGCAGAGAGAAACCAGAGAGAGACTAGAGAAAGACCAGAAAAAGATCAGAGTAAGATCAAAGAGAGACCAGAGAGAGACCAGAAAGACCATTTAACGCCTTAGGATTCCCCTGAATGAGCTGGAGGACGTGTGTGGAGAAGTCTCTGTTTAGAATAGGGAATCACATCTCTCAAAAGCACCTCACTGCAAAGACTAGGTTTTTAAGAATCGTGTTAAAATACATGTCTAAAACATTTCAGATAAATATTCATATTAAAACTGCAGTCTGTGCTTTTTCTTGTCTTGTGCTCTTGTGTCTTTGTGCATTTTCTCCAGAGCATATTGGTAACTTGTGCTGATCTGACTCTAAATAACTTCTGAAGCCTGTCTCCAGAGTTCTGTCATAAGATGTGCTTTATTTATCTCACAGAGGAGAAATTTACGTCATCAAACAGTCTGTGGATCCTCTTGTGTTGGGAGCAGCCCTGTCGGAAACAGCTCATTTTTTCTCTTCTCAAACGTTTTCACGCCTCCATAAAGATACTCTGGACATTTACCAAAAATAAAGGACAGCACTTTACACACGCCGCACTCAAATCTGTCCGTTAGAGTTCCAGACCGCGGCGTCTCGACATTCAGTGTGGAGCGATAGGCACTGACCGGCTCTGTCTCCATCTTCTGGGCTTCAGGGCCTCAAGACCTCAGGACCCCAAGATTATGGTCTGGTCAGCCACAGAACACTTTATATCAAACAGAAGGAGAAGGACCATCTGTAATGATCCTTCTCCATCTGTTCGATTCACAAACTGTAGATCAAAGGACCGTTGTCACTTAGAACATAAGGGCCTAGAAGTGGGCAGAGATTCAAGGTCTGGAAGTGAAGATCCACATTTGTACGAGGCCACATGGGTTTCAGACTGGAGAGAGACTATAGAGAGAGACCAGATAGACTGAAGGGAGCCTAGATATAGAGGGAGGTCAGAGAGAGACTAGAGAGAGAGAGAGAGAGAGACCAGAGAAAAAGACTGAAGAGAGCCTTGGGATAGAGGGAGGTCAGACACAAGAGAGAGACCAGAGAGAGACTAGAGAGAGAGAGACCAGAGAGAGACAAGAGAGAGAGAGACCAGAGAGAGACAAGAGAGAGAGAGACCAGAGAGAGACAAGAGAGAGAGAGACCAGAGAGAGACTAGAGAGAGAGAGACCAGAGAGAGACCAGAGAGAGACTAGAGAGAGAGAGACCAGAGAGAGACTAGAGAGAGAGAGACCAGAGAGAGACAAGAGAGAGAGAGACCAGAGAGAGACTAGAGAGAGAGAGACCAGAGAGAGACAGAGAGAGAGACCAGAGAGAGACAAGAGAGAGAGAGACCAGAGAGAGACTAGAGAGAGAGAGACCAGAGAGAGACTAGAGAGAGAGAGACCAGAGTGGGACCAGAGTGGGACCAGAGAGAGACCAGAGAGGGACCAGAGAGAGACCAGAGTGGGACCAGAGAGAGACCAGAGAGAGACCAGAGAGAGACCAGAGAGAGACCGGAGAGGACTTCAATCTCTAGTTTTTCACATTATGTATTTCTGGCCTCCGTCACATCTTTAGATCAGCTTTTTCAGACAGACAGTGAAAAATAAAGGACCACTCTCCATGAACCAATCAGCTCTCAGCCCAAAGAGTCAAATAGTGACTCACAGTACTTCTGCTAGACTTGGTTTTCCTCCTTTTCTCAAACAAACTGTGTTTTCATCCCATGGTCTGGGGGCCGCAAACGTTTGAACCATGACACAACATTGTTCTATCTGAAACATCACTGAACAAATAAATGAATTGAAGCACGAGGGCCGGGCTGACTCAGTTCACTCTGGGTCCCGCACGGAAACACATCGGAAATGACTTGAATTCCGAATAATCCGACTTAAGCTGTTTTCATCTGAATGAGAAGTAATATACGATAACACTGTATTTTGAAGCTTCTTTATCTCCCCTGGCCTGGACTCGTGGGCGGTCCACCCTCCCTGCCTGGAAGCCTCCTCAGTCCTGAGTCTACAGCCTCAGTCCTGGATCTGTCCTGGGTCTACAGCCTCAGTCCTGAATCTGCAGCCTCAGTCCTGGGTCTACAGCCTCAGTCCTGGGTCTACAGCCTCCGTCCTGGGTCTACAGCCTCCGTCCTGGGTCTGCAGCCTCAGTCCTGGGTCTACAGCCTCAGTCATGGATCTACAGCCTCAGTCCTGGGTCTACAGCCTCAGTCCTGGGTCTACAGCCTCAGTCCTGGGTCCAGAGCCTCAGTCCTGGGTCTACAGCCTCAGTCCTGGGTCCAGAGCCTCAGTCCTGGGTCCACAGCCTCAGTCCTGGGTTCACAGCCTCAGTCCTGGGTCCACAGCCTCAGTCCTGGGTTCACAGCCTCAGTCCTGTTCATCTCATTCTTCCTTGTGTTTTGAGTTTTGGCTTTTTTTAATTTAGATTTTTTTCTTAAACAGGCACCAGCACGATTCCACAGACTCCAAACAAGAACATGCACAAACCAGCGGCCGCCACCGACACCAGCAACTTATCAAAATAGAATCTCCCACATTGACCCGGAAATACGAAAATAAATCTGCCACCAAAGGAAAAGTAGTTGCACACTAATCGTAGGAGAATCCACACATGGTGCAATGGCTGAAGCTGGGTCTGGACTGGTTTGGACTAGTTTGGACTGGTCAAGGGTATTTAAGAAAGAAAGAGAAATAACTGCATCAATCAGGACGAGGGAGCCTACTGTACCTCCTGTCGCACACATGGGTCACCCTCCTCCATAGACCACTGGGCCAGTGGGGGCGTGGTCAGTCTGAGCGACCTGTCAATCAGGCTGACCACGCCCACTTAGGAAGTAACATCTGCTGAGAAGTGACAGTACTGCAGCTGAAGCACGTTAATAATCCAACTTGATCGTTCAAACGAACCACCTTTTACACAAGACAAAATTAACGTTTTCAAATTAAATTTTCAGCCACCCTCGACCACAATGTTTGGCCATCGGCTCTTTTTGTCCATTCATATGCTGAAAAAGCCCCAGTGTGTCTCTGTAAGATCTTATTCAATCCTAAACCAGTCCAAACCCTCCATCACACATATCTGTGACTCCTGTTGAAGCCATTGTAACTGCTGCAGATGTGTTTGTTTGCAGTGTAGCATGAAGTACTGGGACTGTCCTGTAGGGGACAGCAGTGGCTCCTGGGACCATCCTGTGGGGACAGTCCAGCAGGGGGCAGCAGAGTTAAATGTCCAGGTCGATGGGACGCACGTCTCCGGTCTTGTTCTCCTGAACCCAGAGCTCGCGGTCTTTTGCCGGGTCCACGGCCTGCAGCAGCTGGTCCACCGGCTCCACCGTCTGCAACACACACAAACCATCAATACCATCAATACCATCAACGCTGTGGAACACCTGGATCTTCCAAAAAGAGAAACAAGAAAGAGACAAGAGACAGGCCAGAGACAGACCAGAGAGAGACCAGTGAGATACAAGAAAGAGCCAGAGTAGAGTAAAAAAGATTTGGTGGAGACAGTACCAAGAACAGTAAAGTGCTGCGCACTCACAATCTAATGTAAAGTGCTGCGTACTCACACTCTGATGTAAAGTGCTGCGTACTCACACTCTGATGTAAAGTTCTGCGTACTCACACTCTGATGTAAAGTGCTGCGTACTCACACTCTAATGTAAAGGGCTGCGCACTCACACTCTGATGTAAAGTGCTGCGTACTCACACTCTAATGTAAAGGGCTGCGTACTCACACTCTGATGTAAAGTGCTGCGTACTCACACTCTAATGTAAAGGGCTGCGTACTCACACTGATGTAAAGTGCTGCGTACTCATACTTTAATGTAAAGTGCTGCGTACTCACACTCTAATGTAAAGTGCTGCGTACTCACACTCTGATGTAAAGTGCTGCGTACTCACACTCTAATGTAGAGTGCTGCGTACTCACACTCTGATGTAAAGTGCTGCGTACTCACACTCTAATGTAAAGGGCTGCGTACTCACACTCTGATGTAAAGTGCTGCGTACTCACACTCTGATGTAAAGTGCTTCGTACTCACACTCTAATGTAAAGTGCTTCGTACTCACACTCTAATGTAAAGTGCTGCGTACTCACAATCTAATGTAAAGTGCTCCGTACTCACACTCTAATGTAAAGTGCTGCGTACTCACACTCTGATGTAAAGTGCTGCGTACTCACACTCTAATGTAAAGTGCTGCGTACTCACACTCTGATGTAAAGTGCTGCGTACTCACACTCTGATGTAAAGTGCTGCGTACTCACACTCTAATGTAAAGTGCTGCGTACTCACACTCTGATGTAAAGTGCTGCGTACTCACACTCTGATGTAAAGTGCTGCGTACTCACACTCTAATGTAAAGTGCTGCGTACTCACACTCTGATGTAAAGTGCTGCGTACTCACACTCTGATGTAAAGTGCTGCGTACTCACACTCTAATGTAAAGTGTCTGCGTACTCACACTCTGATGTAAAGTGCTGCGTACTCACACTCTGGTTGAACATGTCGGTCTCGTGTCTCAGCGTAGTGTACTGTCGCAGATGAGTCTGAATGAACTCGATCCTCTCCACCTCCAGCTTCTCCAGCTCCTGAAACCAGACACAAGCACTTTATGAGACACAGCACAGAGACTCCTCCCCTGACCCTGACTGGACAGGGCCGTTCTAGGCCGGTGCCGGTCTAGTTACCATAAGCACAGTGTTTACTAGCAGAGGTTAGAGATCGATATCTCCTCAACTGACCAACTTTATTTCATCATCAAATTGACTGTATACAGGCTAACACTGCTTTAAGGCTAACACTGTGGTGATGTCACACTGTCTGGCCCCTGGTTCATGACCCTCTCTGATGGTATACATCACCATAGTTACCATGCTGCTGGTGACCATCTCCTCGAACCATTTGCACTGAGTCTGGTTGTACAGGTCCAGAGAACGCATGAGGTCATCGCCTGCAACAAAAGATTCATCGTGGAATTTCTTGTTTTAGAAAGATACAAGAAGAAACATCACAAACACTGTCTTTTGACAAGTTAACCTCTTTGGTCTCCCTCTGGTCTCTCTCTGGTCTCTGTCTGGTCTCTCTCTGATCTCTCTCTGGTCTCTCTCTGGTCTCTCTCTGGTCTCTCTCTGGTCTCTCTCTGGTCTCTCTCTGGTCTCTCTCTGGTCTCTCTCTGGTCTCTCTCTGGTCTCTCTCTGGTCTCTCTCTGGTCTCTCTCTGGTCTTTTTCTGGTCTCTCTCTGGTCTCTCTCTGGTCTCTCTCTGGTCTTTCTCTGGTCTTTCTCTGGTCTCTCTCTGGTCTCCCTCTGGTCTCCCTCTGGTCTCTCACTGGTCTCCCTCTGGTCTCCCTCTGGTCTCTCTCTGGTCTCTCTCTGGTCTCCCTCTGGTCTCTAACCTGCCTGGGTGGATTTCCTGCGAGCCTTCTTGATGTCTTCTTCTGTCTTGTTGCTCAGTTTCACCTCCAGCTGCTGCGTTTTCACTTCCAGGTCTTTCTGACGATCGGCCAGAGCTTTACGAGCCTGAAGTAATCAGAGTACAAAGTATTCACACAGAGTTCAAGTATTCACACAGAGTACAAGTATTCACACAGAGTACAAGTATTCACACAGAGTACAAGTATTCACACAGAGTACAAGTAATCACACAGAGTACTAGTAATCATGTGTTTGCATTAGCTCCTTAGCCTCAGGTTTGCAGCTGATTCTCAGCCACTTCACTCTCGACTGAAAACCGTCCCAGAGCTGAAGGTCTGGGTTCGTTGGAGCCAACAGGAAACATCTGCAAACAGCAGAGATGAAATCCTGTGGTCTCCGAACCCACCCTCAGGACGGGTCTCATCCCAGAGCCACAGAATCGGAATCGGAATACCCGCCTGCGCCTCTGCCTCCGGGACGGAGGATGTGACGGGGGATTGAGGACAACCTCCAAGTGCTCCTTTGACCGTAGCCGTGGTCAGCAGCTCTCCTCCTCCTCACCGTGTACGGTGCTTACACGGTGACGGCAAAGATCTGCTTCCCCGTCCTGAGGGGACGGTCATGTTCCGTTCCAATAATGTTTGGGTTCTCATTATTATAAGGTCCATGGTGGGTTTTGGACCGTGCTTCGTCTGACCTGCCACCTATCGCCTGTGTACCATGAGAGGCCAGACCAGGGACATAAAGCCCCTGAAAACAGAGCTCTCTCACACACCCCCACCACGTAAAGGAGGCAGTCTAGGGGGAGGACCGGAAACAGATTCTACTAACTTGTGTGGTCATTCATAAATTATTCTGATGAGGTACAGGTGCAGTACCTTGTCCTGGTATGAGGTGTGTTGCTGGTACCTTCTCCACACCAGCGTACTTGGAGGCCAGCTGTTTCCTCAGGTCAGAGATGTGATGGTCGTATTTCTTCAGATCTTTCTTGAAGTGTTCTCCTCTGAAGCTGAGGAGGGGTTTCTCCACCTCACTGTGGAGCTGAGGGAGCAGGCTTTAGTACTGATGCTACTGATGCTACTGCTGCTACTGATGCTACTGATGCTACTGCTGCTACTGATGCTAATGATGCTACTGCTGCTACTGATGCTACTGCTGCTGATACCTTGTTGGAGAACTTGAGATGGACCTCTGCTTCGTCGTGCAGACTTTTCTTCAGTTGTGTCCAAGCTTCACCCAGAGTCCTGCATCAGAGAGAAACCAGAGAGAGACCAGAGAGAGACCAGAGAGAGACCAGAGGGAGACCAGAGAGAGACCAGAGAGAGACCAGCGAGAGACCAGAGAGAGACCAGCAAGAGACCAGCGAGAGCCCAGAGAGAGACCCGAGAAAGACCAGAGGGAGACCAGAGAGAAACCAGAGAGAGACCAGAGAGAGACCAGAGGGAGACCAGAGAGAGACCAGAGAGAGACCAGCGAGAGACCAGAGAGAGACCAGCAAGAGACCAGCGAGAGCCCAGAGAGAGACCCGAGAAAGACCAGAGGGAGACCAGAGAGAAACCAGAGAGAGACCCGAGAAAGACCAGAGGGAGACCAGAGAGAAACCAGAGAGAGACCAGAGAGAGACCAGAGGGAGACCAGCAAGAGACCAGAGAGAGACAAGCGAGAGACCAGAGAGAGACCAGCGAGAGACCAGAGAGAGACCAGAGAGAGACCAGCGAGAGACCCGAGAGAGACCCGAGAGAGACAAGAAAGAAACCAGAGAGGGACCAGAGAGAGTCCAGTGAGAGACCAGAGAGAGACCAGAGAGACCAGAGAAAGAACAGAGGGAGACCAGAAAGAGAGAGAGAGCCCATTGGTACTTCTGGTTCCAAACCTCTCTCACATAAACACAATCAAACATCTCCAGCTGGTCTCACCCTTCCTCCTGAGCGGCCAGAGGGCTGAGTGATAGTTTAGAGAGGTTCTTGGCGTACTCCTCTTCAATCTTTATCCTGAAACACAAACAACAGATACCATCAAACACCAGAAGCATCAAAGACCAGAAGCATCAAAGACCAGAACCGTCAAAGACCAGAACATCAAAGAACAGCTGAGAGATCTAAAACCCAAACCAGAAAATGATGAGGAGTGAACATCTAAATCCATCCTCTTCCATGTTCTTCTCTGGTCCCGGTCTCTCTCTGGTCTCTGTCTCTCTCTGGTCTCTGTCTCTCTCTGGTCTCTGTCTCTCTCTGGTCTCTGTCTCTCGCTGGTCTCTGTCTCTCTCTGGTCTCTGTCTCTCTCTGGTCTCTGTCTCTCTCTGGTCTCCCTTTCTGTCTGGTTCTCTGTCACTCTCCGTCTCTCTCTGGTCTCTGCCTCTCTCTGGATATATTATCTCTGTGTCTCTGGATCCGGAGAGAACCTAGACCAGCCCAAGGACAAGGACTAGTACCAGAAGTGTCCTCACCGCTCGTGGATGAAGTCGGCCATCTCTTTCTGCAGCTGTTTCCCTTTGAGCTGTTTCTGGATCAGAATCTCTACTCCAGGCACACAGGGGGCGCCCTGAGGGTCCTTTTTGTCGGCCTGCAACAGACACAGACACACACCTATCATCAGAACATTGGGGTCTATAGCCTCAGTCCTGGATCTACAGCGTCAGTTCTGGGTCTACAGCCTCAGTTCTGGGTCTACAGTCTCAGTTCTGGGTCTACAGTCTCAGTTCTGGGTCTACAGCCTCAGTTCTGGGTCTACAGTCTCAGTTCTGGGTCTACAGCCTCAGTTCTGGGTCTACAGCCTCAGTCCTGGGTCTACAGCCTCAGTCCTGGATCTACAGCCTCAGTCCTGGGTCTATAGCCTCAGTCCTGGATCTACAGCGTCAGTCCTGGGTCTACAGTCTCAGTCCTGGGTCTACAGCCTCAGTCATGGAGCATTTCGGACTCAGAGACAGATTTACAATAGTTTCTCATCAGCTGCATTGATCACAGGTCTATTCTTACACCAGCCGTAGCCACAGAGGCTCAGGAGTCAGTAATGTACACAAAGATATTTAAAAATCTCTCTCGACAAAAAAAGTATCTCTCTTGACTTGCTCTAGTCTCTCTCTGGTCTCTCTCTGGTCTCTCTCTGGTCTCTCTCTGGTCTCTCTCTTGACTCGCTCTTGACTCGCTCTGGTCTCTCTCTGGTCTCTCTCTGGTCTCTCTCTGGTCTCTCTCTGGTCTCTCTCTGGTCTCTCTCTGGTCTCTCTCTTGTCTCTCTCTTGTCTCTCTCTTGACTTGCTCTGGTCTCTCTCTGGTCTCTCTCTGGTCTCTCTCTGGTCTCTCTCTGGTCTCGCTCTGGTCTCGCTCTTGTCTCGCTCTGGTCTCTCTCTGGTCTCTCTCTGGTCTCTCTCTTGTCTCTCTCTTGTCTCTCTCTTGACTTGCTCTGGTCTCTCTCTGGTCTCTCTCTTGTCTCTCTCTTGTCTCTCTCTTGTCTCTCTTTTGACTTGCTCTGGTCTCTCTCTGGTCTCTCTCTGGTCTCTCTCTGGTCTCTCTCTGGTCTCGCTCTGGTCTCGCTCTGGTCTCGCTCTGGTCTCTCTCTTGTCTCGCTCTGGTCTCGCTCTAGTCTCTCTCTGGTCTGGTCTCTGGTTACTGACCCAGAAGTAGTCGCAGTAGCTCCACTCGTTGGGTTTAAGCAGCTGTTGTTCTGGTCCTTCTCCTGGAAGAGGGAACGTCACACAGTTCACCTGCAGAAACACACACAAAAACACACACAAGAACACACAAGAACACACACAAGAACACAGACACACAAACAGAGAGAGAACTGTTATTATTGGCAACACTCTGAACTGCTGGACGGACAGAACACAGCCGTACATATGGTATTATCTGTTGTATTAATCCTGTAGAAGAGGCTGAGGCAGAAGCAACACAATGTGGACAATAGTACATTTTACAGATGGACTGACTTCATTGTTTAGAGTTTGTTGGAGACAAAGGAGGAGGTGGAGGTGATGGAGCTGATGGAGGTGGAGGAGGTGGAGGTGATGGAGGTGATGTACAGTAGGTGATAGAGGAGGTGGAGGTGATGAAGGTGAAAGAGGTGATGGAGGAGGTGGAGATGATGAAGGTGATGGAGGTGATGGAAGTGATGTAGGTGATGGAGGAGAAGGAGGAGATGGAGGTGATGGAGGTGATGGAGGTGATGGAGGAGATGGAGGAGATGGAGGAGGTGGAGGTGATGGAGGAAGTGGAGGAGAAGGAGGTGATAGAGGAGGTGGAGTAGATGGAGGTGATGGAGGTGATGGAGGAGGTGGAGGTGATGGAGGAAGTGGAGGAGAAGGAGGTGATGGAGGAGGTGGAGTAGATGGAGGTGATGGAGTTGATGGAGGTGATGGAGGAGATGGAGGAGATGGAGGAGATGGAGGTGATGGAGGTGATGGAGCTGATGGAGGTGATGGAGCTGATGGAGGTGATGGAGGTGATGGAGGTGATGGAGGTGGAGGAGGTGATGGAGCTGATGGAGGTGATGGAGGTGATGGAGGTGAGGAGGTGATGGAGGTGATGGAGGTGATGGAGGTGATGGAGGAGGTGGAGGAGGTGGAGGTGATGGAGGTGATGGAGTTGATGTAGGTGATGGAGGTGATGGAGGTGATGGAGGTGATGGAGGTGATGGAGGTGATGGAGGTGATGGAGGAGGTGGAGGTGATGGAGGTGATGGAGTTGATGGAGGTGATGGAGGTGATGGAGTGTGAGTGGAGTGATGGAGGTGGAGTGTGATGGAGGTGATGGAGTGATGGAGGTGATGGAGGTGTAGATGGAGTTGATGGAGGTGATGGAGGTGATGGAGGTGATGGAGTTGATGGAGGTGATGGAGGTGATGGAGGTGATGGAGGTGATAGAGGTGATGAAGGTGATGGAGGTGATGGAGGAGGTGGAGGAGGTGGAGGTGATGGAGGAGGTGGAGGTGGGTGTAGACACCAGGGGGATGTGGACTGAGCTAAAGTCCAGACTCAGAGATAGTTTTTCTCTGGTTTGTTGTTGTGGCTCTGAGCTGAAGGTCAGCAGTGAATAAACATGAGTCTGAGGAAGTTAAAGCTGAGGTCTGTAAATAACACATGGTTTATTTATCTCATTACAAAGTATCTAAAGAAGTCAAATAATGGTCTCTCTCTCTCTCTGCTGTGTATCGCTGGTCTCTCTCTCTGGTTTCTCTCTTCGGTCTCACTCTCAACTATCTCTCTCTGTCTCTCTCTATTGTCTCTCTCTCTGGTCTCTCTCTCTGGTCTCTCTTTCTGGTCCCACTCTCTGGTCTCTCTCTCTCTGGTCCCACTCTCTGGTCTCTCTCTCTGGTCTCTCTCTCTGGTCTCTCTCTCTCTGGTCCCACTCTCTGGTCTCTCTCTCTCTGGTCCCACTCTCTGGTCTCTCTCGCTCTCTCTCTCCCTCTCTGGCCTCTCTCTCTCTGGTCTCTCTCTTTCTCTGGTCTCTCTCTCTCTCTGGTCTCTCTCTTTCTCCCTCTCTGGCCTCTCTCTCTCTGGTCTCTCTCTTTCTCTGGTCTCTCTCTCTCTCTCTGGTCTCTCTCTCTGGTCTCTCTCTCCTTCTGTGTGATAATTAAATAAATGTGCCTGTATGTGGCGTGACTAATGCCTCTGTGTGTTATGTAACTGAATTATGTTCAGGCCAAAAAACAATGTGACAATCTGCTGCTGAGGAGAGCAAGAGAAACCCCCAGACACAGCACAGAGCGGGACAGAAACAGACTGAACAAGCTGGTCAGGAGGGCCAGCTCCACTTTGGGCTGCTCCCTGGACTCTGTGGAGGAGGTGAGGGACAGGAGGCTCCCTGGACTCTGTGGAGGAGGTGAGGGACAGGAGGCCCCTGGACTCTGTGGAGGAGGTGAGGGACAGGAGGCCCCTGGACTCTGTGGAGGAGGTGAGGGACAGGAGGCCCCTGGACTCTGTGGAGGAGGTGAGGGACAGGAGGGTGCTAGCCAAAGCCACCTCCATCATGAACAACACCTCCCACTGCACAGGACTGTAGAGGAGCTGAGGAGCTCCTTCAGTGGAAGACTGAGACACCCTCAGTGTAGGAAGGAGCGCTACCGCAGGGCCTTTATCCCCACCGCTGTCAGACTGTACAATAAGTCACTTTAAATGATCACTGTGTGAAAACCTGCACTACTATTGACACTGTTTCCAATTGACACTTGTCACTTTTGTTGTACATAATTATTGTCACTTTATTGTACATAATTATCCTGCATGTAACATGTTTGCACATTTCCTCCTTTTGCACAATCTGAGTGTCTCTATCCATGCTAAATGTGACATGTACATTTCTCCTCTGTGAGATAAATAAAGCAATCTTATCTTATCTTATCTTACACCAGAGCTGAGAAAATATGAGTTTTAGATCAGGGCTCGAGGAATCAGCAATAACAACTAGAAACTTGCAATGGCTGAAGCCATTGCGATTGACTGCGGAACAGATCTAATGTGGAAATCTGCTAAAAAAAATCCTTGAAATCCTTTAAAAGGCCTTGAAACTGTTAAAATACTTGATAGATATTTGAAACTCCTGAAGTCCTTGAAATTGTTGAAACCTTTAAACTCCTGAAATCCTTGAAACTGTTGAAACATTGAAACTCCTGAAATCCTTGAAACTTTTTTTAAACCTGGAAACTGTTGAAAGTGTGGAAACTCCTGAAATCCTTGAACCTCCTGATATCCTTGAAACTGGTTAAATTCTTAAACAGTTGAAATCCTTGAAACTACTGAATGTATTGAAAGTGTCCTTGAAACTGAAAAATCCCCTCACCGCTGAAACAATTTGGTTCCTGTAACTAAGGAAACCTGGTCTGTGGTCATTATCTGGTGGTGGTCTGAGTCTTCGTTTGGGTCTTGGTCTGGTGGTATAATGCAACCTATTAGGTTGCATTATACTGGTTTACATGGAAAAATCCCTATTAGGTTGCATTATACTGGTTTACATGGAAAAATCCCTATTAGGTTGCATTATACTGGTTTACATGGAAAAATCCCTATTAAGTTGCATTATACTGGTTTACATGGAAAAATCTCTATTAAGTTGCATTATACTGGTTTACATGGAAAAATCCCTATTAGGTTGCATTATACTGGTTTACATGTACAAATCCCTATTAAGTTGCTTTATACTGGTTTACATGTAAAAACCCCTATTAGGTTACATTATAGTGGTTTACATGTAAAAATCCTTATTAAGTTGCATTATACTGGTTTACATGTAAAAACCCCTATTAAGTTCCATTATACTGGTTTACATGTAAAAACCCCTATTAAGTTCCATTATACTGGTTTACATGTAAAAACCCTATTAAGTTGCATTATACTGGTTTACATGGAAAAATCCCTATTAAGTTGCATAATACTGGTTTACATGGAAAAATCCCCATTAAGTTGCATTATACTGGTTTACATGAAAAAAACCCTATTAAGTTGCATTATACTGGTTTACAAGGAAAAATCCCTATTAAGTTGCATTATACTGGTTTACATGGAAAAATCCCTATTAAGTTGCATAATACTGGTTTACATGGAAAAATCCCCATTAAGTTGCATTATACTGGTTTACATGTAAAAAACCCTATTAAGTTGCATTATACTGGTTTACATGGAAAAATCCCTATTAAGTTGCATTGTACTGGTTTACATGGAAAAAACCCTATTAAGTTGCATTATACTGGTTTACATGGAAAAAACCCTATTAAGTTGCATTATACTGGTTTACATGGAAAAAACCCTATTAAGTTGCATTATACTGGTTTACATGAAAAAACCCCTATTAAGTTGCATTATACTGGTTTACATGGAAAAATCCCCATTAAGTTGCATTATACTGGTTTACATGAAAAAACCCTATTAAGTTGCATTATACTGGTTTACATGGAAAAATCCCTATTAGGTTGCATGATTACACTGAAGTCCTTGAAACTGCTGAAGTCCTTGAAACTGCTGAAGTCCTTGAAACTGCTGAAGTCCTTGAAACTGTTGAAGTCCTTGAAACTCTTGAAATCTTGAAACTGCTGAAATCCTTGAAACTGTTGAATCCTTGAAACTGTTGAATCATTGAAACTGTAGAAATGTCTGAAAGAGCTGAAGTCCTATTAAAATGCATGGGCCTATTAAAATGCATTGCAGAATTCTCAATGCAGATTTTTGTCCGATTGCGGAAAAACCGGAAATCGCTGAAGTCCCAAAAGTAATAGCAATAATCTCCCAAACATGTGGAACGTTTTGATGTATAACTTGTGGAAATTGTTGAAAATGTGAAAGCTGTGAAACGTGTCAAAAAAAATGACGGAATAAAGAAATACAAAACCAATGGTTGACTGCGGAAGGTTCCGCAGTCAATCAATAACACAGTGCTTTTATGGACTCGCAAAGACTTAAAGGACTACAGACTAACTAAAGCAGGACTAAAGCAGGACTAAAGCAGGACTAAAGCAGGACCAGAGCAGGACTAAAGCAGGCCTAAAGCAGGACTAAAGCAGGCCTAAAGCAGGACTAAAGCAGGACTAAAGCAGGACTAAAGCAGGACTAAAGCAGGACCAAAGCAGACCTAAAGCAGGCCTAAAGCAGGACTAAAGCAGGACTAAAGCAGGTCTGAAGCAGAACTAAAGCAGGACTAAAGCAGGACTAAAGCAGGACTAAAGCAGGACTAAAGCAGGACTAAAGCAGGACTTTTTGTTCTCTTTCAGCAGAAATAGTCAGTGGGTCTAGACCAGTCTGAACTAAACCAGATGAGAACCCAGTTTGAACCAGGTCTGAACCAGACCTGAACCAGATCTGAACCAGGATTAAAACAGGACTAACATCCTCATGTTGAGCTGATGTAGGAGTGAGACAGCGGTGGTGCTGATGCAGGGTTGCCTTCGGTGATGGGAATGCGTTTCCAGGGCGACTGGAGCCCCCGTGGGGGGAGGGGCGCGTGAGTAACGTGACAGAGGAAAACAACAACAGAGATGAGACCAAGTCTGAACCAGGTCTGAACCAGGTCTGAACCAGGTCTAAAGCATGATAAGTAGAGCCTAATGCAGGACTAAAGTAGGTCCAAACCAGGACTAAACCGGAACTAAACCAGGTCAAAACCAGATCTAAAGCAGGAATAATTCAGGTCTAAACCAGGACTAAATCAGGTCTAAAACAGGAGTAAACCAGGACTTAAACAGGTCTAGAGCAGGACAACAACAGGTTTAAAGCAAGGCCTCATTTCACTGAGCAAAACCCTAGGTCACCTGTTCATCACAGACCGAGCACTTTGGCCTTCAACCAGACTAGGCGACAGGGTGTTTTTGCAGAGGAATGTTCAGTGAGACTAAACCTGGACTAAACCAGGACTAAACCAGGACTGAACAGTCTCCGACAGTTCACCCTCGTTTTGATGCTCGCACAGCGGCCATTACTCCCGTTGTCATGGAAACTGGACATGCTCCCTCCCTTCCTCCTCCTAAAGGTAGTATAAAGAAGGACTAAAATAGGTCTGAACTGGGTCTGGACCAGGAGCCTTTCTCTGTCTCTGGTCCAAACACACACATGGTATGGGGTTCACAGCAGGTCTTCGAAGTGAGACGTGTGTGAAACAAATGAAACATAGACTGAAGATAAACACACGTATTTAAGTCTGAGCGGAGATTATTGAACCGAAGACACGCAGGATCCATGGCGCAGATCTGCTCCTTTGAACTGGGACAGCTTTAAAACCAAAGAGATTCCAGGACTAAAGCAGGACTGAAACCGGTCTGAACCAGGTCTAAAGCAGGTCTAAAGCAGGACTAAAGCAGGTCTAAAGCAGGACTAAAGCAGGTCTAAAGCAGGTCTAAAGCAGGTCTAAAGCAGGTCTAAAGCAGGACTAAAGCAGGACTAAAGCAGATCTAACCCAGGGCTAAACCAGGTCTATACCAGGGCTCTCTCAGTCTTACATAAGCTCTTTGTCTGCTTCACCTCCACATCCCAGAATAACCCATCGACCCGGAGTCTCCGCGGAAACATGAGCCGAGCCCTGACTCTTTTACACAGAAACGACCACATTCTCCTGAGTCCAGATTCAGAACGCAGTGTTTTTCATCATCTTCATGACAGACGTCCAATCAGAGAGCAAGAGTCTCCCACCTGTGGCTACAGTAGCTCACCCTCCTCCAGGTTTCTCCCAAGGGATATAGGTTTTTGCCAATATTAAAAAATGTAGGATTCCTATGGCACAACTCTTATAAATGAAAAATAAAAATGTAATAGATTAGTCATAATGTGTAGTAAATGCTACAACCAACATACATTCACTCATTACATGCACCCAGAGGAAACCTACGCAGAAATGGGGAGAACATGCAAACTCTACAGAGAAAGGCCTGGAGGTGCATCAAACCTAGGACCTTGTTGCTTTGAAACACAAGCGCTAACCACTGCCACTGTGCCATACAGTCTTATGTCTCATCCATGTGGATTTAGGCTGCAGTACCGCAGGTGACCTCTAGTCTATGTAGATTACGGCTGCAGTACCGCAGGTGGCCTCTAGTTTGTGTAGAGACAGGTTTAAAGGTCAAGACACTGCACATACCTTCACACACGGGTCACTGTCCAAGCTTTCACAGCACTATAGTACAGCTCGGCCTGGATTGAACAGTCCAGTTCAGTCCAGTCCAGTCCAGTCCAGTCCAGCCCAGTCCAGCCCAGCCCAGTCCAGTCGAGACAGTGGACAGTGACACACTTTCACTTTTACATAACAAATCAATTATTTCTTTCTCAATCGAATAAGACCCAGTGTGAGTCTGACATCTGCCCCGGGACAGACTGACAGAGGAGAGGCTGCCTGGAACAGTGGTCTCCATCACGGTCCTGAGCATCCATGTGTAGCAGCCGCACTTCCTGCAGTTTGCCCCAGGGCAGCTGTGGCTACAAGCCTAGTTTACCAATTTGATACTACATGATTGCTCTGCTCAACCCAGACCAGGTCCACATGGTCCAGACCCGTGTAAACGTGCCCCCAGTGTCAGAACTCAGTCCTGAATAAAACACAAGTAATGTCATGTGACGTATAGGTCTAAACCAGGTCTAAACCAGGTCTAAACTATTTCATCAGAATTAATCAGGTTTAAGACAGACGGTAAAAACAGGTGTATTTTTCTGCCTTACCTCATAAACCTCATCCTTTTGCTTCTGTACATATTGTTTGGATTTAAAAAAAGACTGCAGTCTAACCCAGTCTAGTCCAGTCCAACCTGGTCCAACCTGGTCTAACCCGGCCCTGCTCTGACAGGTGGTCTCTTACCGTGGTCCTGGTCTCCTTCACCTCCCTCACCGTGTGGCGTTTGGCCGGAGACACCGATCCTGGAGGCTGAGAAGCGAGACAAGAAGGGTCATCGAAGCTCTCCTCTGTGTCAAAACTGGCCTCCATCATCACTGCTGCTACCACAGTACTGCGAATACTGCAAATACTGCAGATACTACGAATACTACAGATTCTACAGATACTACGGCTGCTGGTGCTGAGGCTGCGGTTACTACGGTTACCGCCTCCACTGCTGCAGCCTGAGTGGAAGCAGACGCGACACTGAGGAGAGAGAGAGAGAGTCGTGAGGAGGATGGAGGGAGGGTTAGTGGGCGGGTTATGGAGAAAGAAGACAAGATTTATCATCAGAGAGAAGGAGAGAGACCAGAGAGAGCAACCAGAAAGAGCCGAGAGAGAGAGAGAGACCAGAGAGAGCAGAGATACTGAGGCCAGAGAGACCAGAGAGAGAACAGAGAGACCAGAGAGACCAGAGAGACCAGAGAGAGAGACCAGAGATACTGAGGCCAGAGAGAGGTCAGTACACATTCCCAGTCCACGGCTTCTGTTCAAACTCAATCAATCCCCTTTGAACTTCCCCTAATGATTTTATAAAGTTAATATTTTACACTTTTTCGTTAGAACAAAAAGTCACACAAACACAGACCAGTTTTGTTGGTTTATTGCTGAAATAAAAGCTTCAATAAAAAACAGCGTTATTTATTTTATGGGTTTTAAAATGAGTCAAAGTGCAAACTCAAAAACCACAAGAGAGAGAGACCAGAGAGAGAGGCCAGAGAGAGAGGCCAGAGAGAGAGGCCAGAGAGAGACCAGAGAGAGAGGCCAGAGAGAGAGGCCAGAGAGAGAGACCAGAGAGAGAGACCAGAGAGAGACCAGAGAGAGACCAGAGAGAGAGGCCAGAGAGAGAGGCCAGAGAGAGAGGCCAGAGAGAGAGGCCAGAGAGAGAGGCCAGAGAGAGACCAGAGAGAGAGGCCAGAGAGAGAGGCCAGAGAGAGACCAGGGAGAGAGGCCAGAGAGAGACCAGAGAGAGAGACCAGAGAGAAAGAACAGAAAGAGACCAGAGAGAAGGACTAGAGAGAGACCAGAGAGAGACCAGAGAGACCAGACAGAAAGACCAGAAAGAGACCAGAAAGAAGGACTAGAGAGAGACCAGAGAGAGACCAGAGAGAAAGAATAGAAAGAGACCAGAGAGAGGCCAGAGAGAGAGAGACCAGAGAGGGACCAGAGAGAGACCAGAGAGAGACCAGAGAGAAAGACCAGAGAGAGACCAGAGAGAAAGACCAGAGAGAGACCAGAGAGAAGGACGACAGAGAGACCAGAGAGAAAGAGACTAGAGAGAGGCCAGAGAGAGAGACCAGAGAGAGACCAGAGAGTGAGACCAGTGAGAGACCAGAGACAAAAGCTGTTATTTAACTTTAGGAAAGTGAGCCGAGTCTCCGTCATTAAACAAGAAGAACCTGGTGAAGGTGACGCCAGCGTGAAGCGGCTGAGAGAAGGTAGTCTGTTCTCTGTGGATCAGCCTCATGTCCTCAGAGACGCTGTAGAAGGACAGGACCCCTGCACTGTGGTCCAGGAACACCCCCACTCTGGGCCCCACCGGACCCAATAACCTCGAGCAACGCCTGTTTGCACAGAAGAAAGAATTATCGTTGCAATGTAAGGCCCAGGATTTATCGTTGCTTCCAAAACTGCAATTGTCAGAGTCTTTCCTGGGAATACCTCTGTAGGAAACTGCGATGGCGATGGTATCAGCGGAGCTCACCTCCACCTCCCAGTAACAGCGGCCGCTCACGCTCTCTCTGCTCAGGACCTGGCAGACGTCTCTGAATCTGTCCTGATGGTCCGGAAACTCCTTCTCCTGCCACAGAACTGTTGCTGCTCTGTCGTCATCAGACAGAGACAGCCATGTGTTGGCAGTGTTTGGATCCAGAGTGAAGTCTATAGAAAACTGCAGGAATCCATCTCTGCTCCTGGGTTCAGTCAGAAAATACTGGACTCGATTCAGAGAGGAGCAGATGTTGGAGAGTTCCTCCTCCGCAGTGAGCTGCAGTCTCTCCCTGAGCTCAGACACAGCTCTGCTCACCTCCTCAAAGGGGCTCCTGTGGACTCTGGCTGGGACTGTACCCTCTGAGGGGCCCTTGACTGGCACTGGCCCCTGTGAGTGTGAGGCCAGTGCAGTGTGGAGCTGTAGAAAGCTGTTGTGGTCTTTGGTGAGGGACAGTGTGTCCAGGTCACAGAGGCTCTTCTTCAGCTCCCTCAGATCCTGCTGCACTTGGTCTTGGATCTCTCGGACTCGGCTCAGTGCTCTCTCCTCCTCAGCCTGAATCTGCTGCTCCACTTCTTTGGCTCTTGTCTCCAGGAGAAGGATCATGTCTCTGAAGCTGCCCCTGCTGAGCTGCAGTGCTGTGTGGGCAGAGGTCCTGATGTCCTGCTCCTGCTGCTGCAGTGAGCTCAGCTCTGTGTCTTTGAGCTGGAGGTTCTGAAGGAGCAGGTGTCTCTGGGCCTCCAGCTGTGCCTGCCTCTGGGCCCTCTCTGAGGCTGAGGACACAGTCTCATGGTCATGGTGCTGGTCCTCACAGCAGAGGACGCAGACCAGCTGCTGGTCAAAGCGACAGAACATGGTCTTCACCTGGTGGTGCTCAGGACACATGGTCTCCTGGAGAGTGTGTGATGGGGCCACAGGGGGCGCTGTGCTCCTCTGCTCCACAGAAGCTGCTAACAGCAGGTTCTGACTCAGCACAGGCCTGGGGCTGATGCTCACAGCACACTGGGGACAGGCGTAGAGCCGCTGCTCCTCCTCTGTGTCCCAGTGCTCCTGGACACACTTCAGGCAGTAGTTGTGTCCACAGGGAAGAGAGACCGGAGTCTGCAGGAAATCCAAACACACAGGACACCGGAAGATCTCCGTTTCCATCACTGCTCCTGCTCCAGAGAAACCAGGGACTGACTCAAGAGTTTCACTGAGAGATAAGGTATAGGAGCGGGAGGGGCCAGGCTGCACCCAGTGTGTGCGTGTGTGTCTGTGTGTCTGTGTGTCTGTGTGTCTGTGTGTCTGTGTGTGTGTGTCTGTGTGTGTGTGTGTGTGTGTGTGTGTGTGTGTGTGTGCGTGTGTGCGTGTGTGTGTGTGCGTGTGTGTGTGCACTTGTTTTCAACTCCTGGTGGGTTCCATAACCTGAGATTCCGCTCACGTCATGGGGACTGGTTTTACGTGGTGGGGCCCGAACACCGGACCCCACTGGTCCAAGCTTAATAATCAATGGGTAATGCTTTTCTAACGGTCCTTATGCAGTCTCTGTAAAAATATGGAAAGGACCCCTGGAGGTTTACTTTCCTGAAAAAAGTGTGTTATGTGTCGGAACCCTGGTGGTGGGTTGCGGGATATCAGGGAGGGGCACACTGGGGCAATTTCAGTCCAGCAGGCTGGAGCCAATCATGGAGCAGCACAACAGAGGAAATCAGGTGTCAGGCTAGAAAAAGGTGCAAGTGTGTGGTTCATTAGGCTGCAAGACATCATGGAGGAGCACACTGAAGCGCACGCTTACAACCCACTGGTAAGTGCTGACTACAAGTCATGACTTCAAATTGTTATATAGAATTATTACAAATTATTTGTTGTTTGTGCAGCTTAGTCAAGAGTCCCTAATTGATGAAGTCGACTCAGATTCTGACGATTTAACTGTCAAGAAGAAACCTGTAAAAAAAAGTATGGAAAAAGAAAAATCAAAAACACTTTTCTTCAAGACTCGGAAAGTGACGAACCAAAGGCAAATAAGATTGTTATCATGCAGCTGCAAAAGAAGAAAAATGGGGGCAGGGTTTACAGCAAGAGACACTTCTGCCTCTACTGTTCAATGTCCTGCCACAAAATGTCCCGTCATTTGACTAGAAAACATGGAAATGAAAGTGACGTAGCCAGAGCATTGGCTCTACCTGTGAAGTCTAAAGCACGTAAACTTCAGTTTGATTTGATCAGGAATAGTGGAAACCGTGAGCACAATTTTGAGGTTTTAAAGGCCGGCATTGGAACTTTAGTCCCAGCTAAACAGCCAAATTCCCCAGTTAAATCCAGTGAGTTTTTGCACTGTATAGACTGTGGGGCATTGCTTAAGCGAAAGTCGCTGTGGAGGCATGTGGCCAGGTGCCGGCTTTCACAGAAAGATGCCCAGGCTAAACCAGGTAGAAGTAGGGTCCAGTCCCTCTGCTCCCTAGCCCAGCCTGTACCGGAGGGCATCAGCAAAAAGCTGTGGTCTTTAATTTCGGCAATGCATCAGGATGAGGTCACGGGTGTTGTCAAAGCAGAAAAGGGGATTCTGAGACTCGGAGAGCACCTGTACTTAAAACACGGGCATGATAAGACTAAGCATGATTACATTAGGCAGAAAATGAGAGAAGTCGGTAGGTTAATTAACGAAGCAAAAACTGCAGGGAAACTGAAAACAATTAAGGATTTCTTTATTCCTTCCAACTTTAACCATGTGATTGATGCAGTCAGGTCTGTGGCTGGATATGATGAGGAAACAAATCAATACAAGACTCCATCCTTGGCCCTCAAACTCGGCCATAGCCTCAGAAAGCTAGCAGATATTCTTGAATGTGACTCAAAAATGGAGCATTGTGTTGATGAACTATTTATTAAAAACCTCCAACGAAGCCGGCTGCTTTTTGAGAAGAGGTGGGACGTCTGTGTTTCTTCTGCTGCCCTACAGACCCTCCGGCAAGCCAAGTGGAACACTCCGGACCTGCTCCCTCTGACTGAGGACGTTAGAGCCATGCATGCACATATTGAGGTATGTCGACCTGAATATGTGCAAACCCTAATAAGTGAGCCAACGTCTAAGCATTGGTCTAAACTGGCAGTTTTGACTCTTTGTGAGGTCATCATTTTCAATCGAAGAAGGGAAGGTGAGGTTTCAAAGATGCCACTGACAGCCTTTACCTTAAGAAGTAAGACTGGGATCCATTCTGACATTGCTCTGGGACTGTCCCAACTTGAGAAAAAGCTGTGTCAGCATTTTCAACGCATTGAAATTAAAGGGAAAAGAAGTGGGAAAGTGCCGGTTCTTTTGACTCCTGAAATGATTGCTTCGATGGAGGTGCTGGTGGAGAACAGAAGGGCCTGTTCCATCTCTGACCATAACCCATACTTCTTCTCCCGCCCGGGCGCAGACACCCACATCAGGGGATCAGACTCCCTACGCCAGGTAGCCAAAGAATGTGGTGCGGTGCATCCAGAGATGCTATCCTCAACCAAACTTAGAAAGCACATAGCTACTATGTCTACAGTTCTCAATATGAAAGAGAATGAGATGGACATACTTGCCAACTTCCTCGGCCATGACATTCGCATCCACAGGCAATATTACAGACTACCAGAGGGGACACTGGAGCTGGCCAAAATCAGCAAAGTGTTGATGGCCATGGAGCAGGGAAGAGTGACGGAATTCGAAGGAAAGAGCCTCGACCAGATACAAATTGAGCCTGAAGGTAATTCTTGATATTATTAAAATATGTATGATTTTTTTCCCCTAAAGGCCACTTGTATTTTTATTTTCTGTGCGACAGGGAGAGCAGTAGAGATCCTCTCACAAACGGACGGGCTAAAAGAAACTTCAAGCGGAGAACCTTCAACCATTCATCCAGATGCACCCCATGGTAGTGGCAGTGCCCCTTCTGGTAAGTGTACCAGGTGGGGGATTACAGCCAGGCTGCTTGGTCCTAACCCTGGGAGTGTATATTGCTAATATATTTTTATTTCTCTCCCTAGAACGTTAGAGAAAGCCATGGTCTGCATCTGAGGTGAAGGCTGTGGAGAAGACCATGACACCTTTCATACAGACTGGAAAGGTCCCTGGGAAGTCTCACTGCCTGGCCTGGCCTGGCCTGGCCTGGCCTGCATTAATGCCTCACCAGATGACCTTAGACATCGGACATGGAGTGGCATTAAATTCTATATCAAAAATAGAATCACTGCAATTCGAAAACAAAATCTAAAATAAAATTCCTTTAAAATAGTTGTTTGGTTTCTATTGACTGTTTTGTATTACTTAAAGTAGTCCCAGTAAAAAAAGATTATGTCTATGGGTCCCATTCTGAACGTCCCTGTCAAAGGGACCCACCAGGTAACAAAAACGTGTATGTGTGTATGTGTGTGTGTGTGTGTGTGTGTGTGTGTGTGTGTGTGTGTGTGGAGAGGGTGGTGTGTGTGCAGAAGGTGAGGTGTGTTTGTGTGTGGGTGTGATTATGTCATGATAACCCGCAAGCTCAATGAAGCCCCAAAGGGAAGTGCTCATGCTGAAGTTTGGCTCCTCTCTCTGGCTCTTATTGACTTCCATGTAAAACTCTTAGCTCAGTAACTGTTTGTGCCACACTCACCATTTTGGGTTTAAATCTAGTTTTTTCTCGCTCTGTGACTGACCAATCAGCTAGCCTGCTAGCCTGCCTTAGCAACCATCATAGCAATGCAAATGTTTTCCTCATAGGCGTAGCCCATGTGGTCCTGCAGACCTGCTTGGGTCCTGCTTTAGACAATTATTATAAATTATTATTTTTTAGAGGAGGGGGGGCGACTGGTTTGAGAGCCATGGAAAAATCTTATCGGATCATTTGTTATTGTTACGAAATGATCCAAATATGTGGAGCACAGGTCAGAGGTTCGGTGTGATAAGAGGCTAACGTCACTGGTTTAAAATAATATCAGTTTAATAATATGACATGGTTTTACAACATCATTTAAATGTCTGGTCTCTGTCTCCCATCTGAGCGCTGACCCAGACCAACCTGCTGAGCCTCTGACAAAAACAAGTTCAGACAAGAAAAGAAAAACACTTACTGTACTCTGAAGAAACATGGCTGGAGTCCTGGTTCTGTCCCAGACCTGGTTCGGATCCAGCTTCTTGCTTTTGTCCTGGAGTTAGTCCTTGTTTAGTCCTATTTTGGACCTTCTTTAAATTGTGTTTCAGACTTGCTTTAGTCCTGGTTCAGTCCTGGTTCAGTCCTGCTTTAGTCCAGCTTTAGTCTTGGTTCAAACCTGCTCTAGTCCTGGTACTGACCCACTTTAGCTCTGGTTCAGTCCTGCTTTAGTCATGGTTCTGACATACTTCTGACCTCGTTCAGTCCTGCTTTAGTTCTGGTACTGACCCACTTTAGTCCTGGTATAGCCCTGCTTTAGTCCTGGTATAGCCCTGCTTTAGTCCTGGTATAGCCCTGCTTTAGTCCTGGTATAGACCTGCTTCAGTCCTGGTTTGGACCTGCTTTAATCCTGGTTCAGTCCTGCTTCAGTCCTGGTTAAGTTCTGCTTTAGTCCTGGTTCAGTCCTGCCTTTGTCCTGTTTAAGTTCTGCTTTAGTCCTGGTTCTGTCCTGGTTCAGTCCTGATTCAGTTCTGCTTTGATCCTGGTTTAGTCCCCTCCTTGTCATGTTTCTTGTGTCCATATGTCGGCCTTCTGGGGGTGGACCATGTGATCAGGCCTGGAGTCAGTCCCAGACTTGAGCTGGACTGGGACCAAACCAAACCAGGCCAAAATATGTGTCATAACAAAAGCAGTTGTGTCGCACACTCCGGCCACAGGGGGCGCTCTGGAGAAGAGGCCACTTCACCGCGAGCAGAGAATATCAGGAGAAACACAGACTTCTGATGACCACAACATTCTACTCAACAGAGAGTTTTATTACTCTTACTCTTACTCTACTCCCTCTTGGTCCTGGCTCTCTACAGTTTGATATCTGCGTTTGCATTGGTGTATGGTTTGGAGAGAAGGCAGTCTGTTCTCTGTGGACCAGGCTCATGTCCAAAGACACTCCTGCACTGTGGTCCAGTAATAGCCCCACTCTGGACCCCACTAGACCCGAGACCTGCGACCAGTCCGAGTTAAACCCAAACCAAGGACTTGTTTTGTCCAGAAACCAAGAAAAATCATTGTATCCAAACCTAGACTCCGGAGAGACTTTCATTTTGTTTTATTATGAATGAAACATCGATGCCTCGTCTCGCTCTCAGCTCAGGACCTGAGGCCACTTTCTGAATCTGTGAAGATGATTTGAGAGTGTTTTCATTCAGCTCAGATAACCACAATATAAGAGATTTAATCATAAGTTAAATACAACACAAAGCCAGCTCCTGAGTCCTCTGTGATTCAAACAGCTGCAGTGTCCTGTGTGGCCAGCTGTACTTCCTCATGTGGCCACAGGGGTCACTGTCCCCCTTTGTACTTCCTCATGTGAGAGGCAATGGAGCTGCTGATCTCTGGGCTTCTCTTGTTCTGTCCATAATACTCCACAAAGTGTCCATCTGGTCCCACCAGGTACATGATGATGGTGTGGTCCACCTGCACAGGACAGAGACATACACAGGGTTAGGAAGGGAGAGAAAGACCGGAGAGAGACCGGAGGGAGGCCGGAGAGAGACCGGAGAGAGGCCGGAGAGAGACCGGAGAGAGGCCGGAGAGAGACCGGAGAGAGGCCGGAGAGAGACCGGAGAGAGGCCGGAGAGAAGACAGAGAGAGACCAGAGAGAGGCCAGAGAGAGACCAGAGAGAGGCCAGAGAGAGACCAGAGAGAGACCAGAGAGAGACCGGAGAGAGGCCGGAGAGAGACCGGAGAGAGACCGGAGAGAGGCCGGAGAGAAGACAGAGAGAGACCAGAGAGAGACCAGAGAGAGGCCAGAGAGAGACCAGAGAGAGGCCAGAGAGAGACCAGAGAGAGACCAGAGAGAGACCAGAGAGAGACCAGAGAGAGACCAGAGAGAGACCAGAGAGAGACCAGAGAGAAAGAGTTGTGTTAGATAAAACTCACAATGTAGTCGTTGTCCTCGTCCTTTGGGCCCTGACTGTAGTAAACTCTGTAGGAGCGAGAGACCTGCTCGATCTGAGACACTGATCCAGTCAGACCGATCAGTTTTGGGGAGAACTCTGCAACACACACACATTAGACATGAGAGGACTCTGCAAACACACACTCACACACATTTTAAGATCTCGGAACACATCGCTGCAGAGTAAAGTCAGTGACTACCTTTGACGTAGTCGGCCATGGCCTCAGGCGTGTCCCTCTCTGGGTCGATGGTGATGAGGAGAGGGGTGAGGTTTGGGAGAGACGGGATTTCATCTGGAACCAACGACAACACTGTGAGCTGTGATCAGTAAACGTTACAACAACTGCAGACACTAAAGGCCGCATTTTAACCCTGGTCAGTAATGACTCTCACAACTGGATCACTGTGGCGGGTCATTTTGTCCGTCTCTCTCTGGTCTCTCTCTGGTCTCTCTCTGGTCTCTCTCTGGTCTCTCTCTGGTCTCTCTCTGGTCTCTCTCTGGTCTCTCTCTGGTCTCTCTCTGGTCTCTCTCTGGTCTCTCTCTGGTCTCTCTCTGGTGTCTCTCTGGTGTCTCTCTGGTGTCTCTCTGGTGTCTCTCTGGTGTCTCTCTGGTGTCTCTCTGGTGTCTCTCTCTCTCTCCCGCCTCTCTCTCCCGCCTTTCTGGTCTCTCTCTCTGGTCCCTCTCTCTGGTCCCTCTCTGGTCTCACCTATCTCCTCCACCACCTCGATCATCTTCTCCAGCTCATCAGGGCAGATGTCTGGACAGTGAGTGAAACCGAAGTAGATGAGGAGCCACTGTCCCAGGAAGTCCTCGCTTCTCACTTCCTTCTTCTGATGGTCCACCAGAGAAAAGGGTCCCCCCAGCAACGGCCGCCCCACCGAACGGTTCCGCTCTTTCTCCAGCACTGACACAAACAGGAAGAGAGAAGACATGTGATTGATATCAAAGAAATCTTATAGAAAAACTCTCTCTGGTCTCTCTCTCACTCTCTGGTCTCACTCTCTCTGGTCTCACTCTCTCTGGTCTCACTCTCTCTGGTCTCTCTCTCACTCCCTCTGGTCTCACTCTCTCTGGTCTCACTCTCACTCTCTCTGGTCTCTCTCTCCCACTCTCTGGTCTCTCTCTCCCACTCTCTGGTCTCTCTCTCCCACTCTCTGGTCTCTCTCTCTCACTATCTGGTCTCTCTCTCACTCTTTGGTTACTCACATTCCTCCTTCTCCTTTTTGAAGAGCTTCATGGCCCCGAGTAGGGTTCCTCCAATGGCGAAGGTGATTGCCAGAGACTTCCAGGTCACAGGCTGAGGAGAGAGACACAGACACATCAAATGAAAGTAAAGACATTTAGCTGCTTTTAAAACAACAAAATGACACAATGATGTAGAATTGTATTTCAACAGGAGCCAATACAACTCTAGGGGAGAAAAGACTTTTGTGAAAGAAATAAAGGAAAAAGACCATTATCTAATAGTAATTGGATTGAAAGAGAGAGAGAGACCAGAGAGGGATCAGAGAGAGACCAGAGGGAGAGACCAGAGAGAGACCAGAGAGGGATCAGAGAGAGACCAGAGGGAGAGACCAGAGAGGGATCAGAGAGAGACCAGAGGGAGAGACCAGAGAGAGACCAGAGAGGGATCAGAGAGAGACCAGAGGGAGAGACTAGAGGGAGAGACCAGAGAGGGATCAGAGAGAGACCAGAGGGAGAGACCAGAGGGAGAGACCAGAGGGAGAGACCAGAGGGAGAGACCAGAGAGAGAGACCAGAGAGAGACCAGATAAAACTTTCTGTCTGTGTAGTGTCTGCCTGAGTGTGAATGGATGAGTGGAGCTTTGAAAGACCAGTGATGGAGAAAATCACAGTGAAAACATGTCATTTCTGACCAAAGTGTCTGATAAAGATGAGACTCACCCCTGTTTTTTTAGGATCCTCTTTAGACGAAGGCTGTGGTCGAGCGTAGTGTCTGTAACAATGTCGCCAGATGCTTTCATTCAACTGAAAAATTATTTAAAAAACAGTTTTAATACATAACTTTATACCATCTCTTGCTGGTCTCTCGCTCTCTGGTCTCTCTCTCTCTGGTCTCTCCCTCTCTCTGGTCTCTCCCTCTCTCTCTCTCCCTCTCTCTGGTCTCTCCCTCTCTCTGGTCTCTCCCTCTCTGGTCTCTCCCTCTCTGGTCTCTCCCTCTCTGGTCTCTCCCTCTCTGGTCTCTCCCTCTCTGGTCTCTCCCTCTCTGACCAGACTTTTCTCTGAGGCCAGACATTTCTCATCTCTCTTTTTTACCACATATCAACAACTTGTGTGAAAGATTGCTGTGTTGTTTAGACCCGGAACACAAAATAACTCGACGATAATATCATAATTGCTTAAAGTCCCAAATAAACAATATATATAATTCCAAGATGTTGTTTGCTACAAATAAATATATATTAATAAAAAAATACATTTGTAAATAATTCAACAGTTTCTTTACTTTGTGGTTGCTATGGTAACGACCAATACCTACGTCACAACTAATGGACGTACCCAACCAGGAAGTAACACTGTAAACAACACATAATTGGACAAAATAGGGAAAGATAGGGATGAAAGGAAGTAAAGTCTTAAACATTAAGCATTACCACGTTTACTGTGTTTTAGAGACACGTGCAGGCGCACCGTGCGTGTTCATCAATGTCATGGCTCACCTCAGTTCACCTTTGCGCATACAGAGATCAATCTAATATTACCAAAAGAGCCAAACGCACGCATGTAGCCTGTGATAACGTGTCTCATGTGTGTATAATAAAGGTAAGTCTTAAACACAGCTCACATGTAGAGGCGAGGGGTTTTCTCCCCGGCAGCGGTGCACCGGAGCGGGCTGTAGCCGCCTCTCTGCCCGCCTCATGCAGCTCAAAGCCCGGTGTGAATGGCACCGCTGTAGGAGAGAACCGTGGGTCCCATGTGTGGCGTGGAACTGGGAGATCCGGAGGAGAAACCCGCTCACGGACATGATGATCCAGTGATGGAACCAGAGATGGACCTTACGAAGCGCCTCAGCTCGTGTGACCGGCGAGTCTAGTTTTTTCCCCAACGCACTTTCTGCCTATCGTTGCCTGGTGGCTTTCTATCAACCGTTTGTCTGTGATATATTAGCTTATAATGTTACCCGTTTGAATATCAATCAATGTGCCAACCTGCTTTTTTGTGCTGTTAAGTTGAGTTAAAGCTTTTGTAAAATGTAGAAATTAAGTGGGGGAGAAAAACTTACGCAAGACTCAATATTTTCCCCAACAAGGTTATATCACACTTCATTAATTTGTTTAGATGACTGCTATGCGAGTCAATAATTATCTATAATGATGTATAACTTTAAAATGTTGATGAATTTCGATATTAGGATTCGTACATTTGGTTAAAATGAGACTTTGGGGGTGGTTGCCTAACGGCTCCTGACAGAACAGCGTTAGGGAAAATCTAAGTTGGTTTTAGTTCTGCTTCCTGCTGGACATTATGTGAACATGCACTGTTCGTGATGTAAATTGTCAAAAGTGTCCTTATCATGGATCTATAATAATAACGGTCCTTATACAGATGCTGTTCCAGCCATTACGTGCTTGTGGTGAGGTAAAATGAATATCCAGTTTTATGAATAAATATTGCGTCACAGTGGGCGTGGCATGGGTGTGTGGTTGTGGATGTGTTATCATGGGGGGGCTCTCCAGTGCAGGTGCGTGAGGGACTGGGTGAGCGCACAGTTTTTGACAGCTTTTATCTGCTTAATGAGCAAAATATTCTTGTTCCTCTTTTTGTGAATCAATAAAGCGTATAAAATGAAAGGCTCAAGTTTGGCGCGTCAATTCTCCCTCCTAGTCTGCATGGTCAGCACAGATGCAGTAATATGAACAAAAAAATGGATAAGACCACATTGAATCAAAAATATGTATTTAATTGTATTATTTACAAAGTGTAATTGATTTACAAGTGGAACACATCATTACACATATCTTATTGCAACATTATAATAATTACGTCATACTGAGGGCCTGGAAGAGTGTATCATAGGGCATCATTACACATGTATTATTCATAGGCTTATTACTACATTATAACACTGGGGTCAAAGGGCAGTCTTACACATGTATTATTACTACATTATAACACTGGGGTCATAGGGCAGTCTTACAGTGCGAGGGCCAGTTTGCTCTGAGCTCTGAGTGGATGTAGTAATAAACCCATGACACAAGTGGAAACAGAGAGACTGCAGCAGCTGTGGAGGCACGCAGGACTCCCACAGGACGTCTGCAAAGAACAGAGATAGATCAGGAACCAACACTAACACACACAGAGATACACAAACACACACACAGAGATACACAGACACACTCTCGCCTTCTCTCTCTTTTGTGTGTTACCTCCCGGAGTGACGACAGAGCAGCAGCCAAAGCACCGTCAGCAGAAGTCCAGAAAACTCCCTGAAAAATCAACCATCAGTCAATCATTTAAACATTTAATATTTTAATTTATTTCATGCTCTGTGAAAATACTTTGGGAACTACATGAACCAAAGAGAGAGCAGAGAAAGAGAGAGAGACCACAGAGACCAGAGAAAGAGTCCAGCAAGAGAGACCCTAGAGAGACCACCATAGACCCAGGAGAGGCCAGAGAGAGGAACCAGAGGGAAACCAGCTAGAAAGGAGAGACCTGAAAGAGAGACCAGAGAGAGAGTTCAAAAGTACTAAATTCTGTTTGGGTTTCTCCTGAGGCTGTGGTCCTGGTTTCTCCTGAGGCTGTGGTCCTGGTCTCTCCTGAGGCTGTGGTCCTGGTCTCTCCTGAGGCTGTGGTCCTGGTCTCTCCTGAGTCTATGGTGGATTGTATATTCAATGTTCGCAGTATTGACCTTCCTTCCTCACGCTGGAACACGTCTGTGACCTGGTCCTTCACCAGAGTCCAACCCAGGACCCAGAGGAACCAAGAGGAGAGCAGCACGTGCAGGTCTGCCACTCGCCTCCAGGGGGCGACCTCTGCACACAACAAGGACATAGCAACAACAGGGGATTCCAAGCTGAGAGCTGATTGGGTAAGTGAGTGTGGTCCTCTCTTTCACACTTCTCTGTCTGAAAAAACTGGTCTAAAGATGTGACAGAGGCCAGAAATAAATGTGAGAGACCTGAAAGAGAGACCAGAGAGAGAGAGACCAGAGAGAGGGACCAAAGAGAGGGAGACTAGAGAGGGAGAGCAGAGAGAGACCAGAATGAGGGACCAAAGAGAGGGAGACTAGAGAGACCAGAGACTAGAGAGAGAGAGGAAAAAGAGTGAGAGAGACCAGAGCAAAAGAAAAACAAAGCCGAGAGAGACAAGAGCGAGAGACAGAGAGAGACACACACTCCAGAATCAGGACTGAACATGAGGAGGCATCGTTTCAGAATGTGGCGTCTTCCTGAGAATGTGAGACAGACTTCTTCTCTGACAATGTTCAAATAAACAGTTGGGAAGGATTTTATTTTTACTATTTTTAAAGAACTGATTATGTTAATGTTTCTATCTTGTTTTGTTCAGAACATTGAGTTTCCTTGTATATGAACTGTACCTTACACCTAGAATTGCGACACATACCCGTTACCTGAGGCCACCAGCCAATCAGAGCGCAGAGAAGAGACGGGACGCCATAACCGACCTATGACCACACACCATCAACATCTTAGAACCAGAAGGACGTCATATGTTGTCATTACCATCCACAATCCTGCATCCGGGTCATTTATCTGCAGAAGGGAAAGAGTCCAGAGATCAGACTGGTTTAGTACAAACACAGAGAAACTATAGAGTCACGCAGAGACACGCACCTGCACGTACGTCGCAAGCGCAAAGAAGAGCGACATGGATGCGTTGCAGATGCGCCACACTGCGTCCAGTTTCGCCATTCTTTGGTTTTGAGACGTTTGCACAACTTCTTCTCCCATGTTTTTCATGATCACCGCCTTTTGCGACGTCAGCAACAGTCTGTGGGAAGCGCAGGTCACGGAGGGTGCGTTTGATCCACATCACAGAGAAATCTCATGAGTAAATATGAGAGTCAGAGTCATGTCTGTGAGAATACACATGATAACAGTGGGTTTAATACATGAGAATATGTGATGCATAATCCAACGGTGCATTTCTGGTTGTATGAACTGCTGGTTGTGGTTCATGATGACGAGAAGGTGAGTAAATGCAGCGCGACTGTTTAGTTTTGAGCAGCGTCAAAACAAAAGAAAAAGGTGAAGTACATCCGGTGAAGTTTGGCAAATAAAATCATATTCCATGTATTTGTGTCTTGTCCTCAATCAGGGCAGCTGTGGCATATGGAGGACTGTACGATAATAAAGGGACGAGCCACATTGGGACCAGTTCAGTTTATTGTTTGTGTGAAGACCCAGGTACTTGAAGCTGTCCACCAGCTCAATGTTCTCCCTCCCGGTGGGCGACCGCTGTCCGAAACACGGGACTATGGTTGTAGATCCAGGACTGAGGCTGTAGATCCAGGACTGAGGCTGTAGATCCAGGACTGAGGCTGTAGATCCAGGACTGAGGCTGTAGATCCAGGGGTCCCATCATCACACCATGAAACAGAGAGATGTGACAGCGACAGCAGGTCTATAGCAATGAACAGACTGCAGCTAAAGCATAATGATGACAGATGACGTATAAGAGTTAGATACCCCAGCTTTAAAGAAGTCAGAAAACACCCTGTGAGTCACTGAAGCAGAGACTGAAGCAGAGACTGAAGCAGAGACTGAGGCAGAGACTGAGGCAGAGACTGAGGCAGAGACTGAAGCAGAGACTGAAGCAGAGACTGAAGCAGAGACTGAGGCAGAGACTGAAGCAGAGACTGAGGCAGAGACTGAGGCAGAGACTGAAGCAGAGACTGAGGCAGAGACTGAAGCAGAGACTGAAGCAGAGACTGAGGCAGAGACTGAAGCAGAGACTGAGGCAGAGACTGAGGCAGAGACTGAAGCAGAGACTGAAGCAGAGACTGAAGCAGAGACTGAGGCAGAGACTGACGCAGAGACTGAAGCAGAGACTGAGGCAGAGACTGAGGCAGAGACTGAGGCAGAGACTGAAGCAGAGACTGAAGCAGAGACTGAAGCAGAGACTGAGGCAGAGACTGAAGCAGAGACTGAAGCAGAGACTGAAGCAGAGACTGAGGCAGAGACTGAGGCAGAGACTGAAGCAGAGACTGAGGCAGAGACTGAAGCAGAGACTGAGGCAGAGACTGAGGCAGAGACTGAAGCAGAGACTGAGGCAGAGACTGAGGCAGAGACTGAAGCAGAGACTGAAGCAGAGACTGAAGCAGAGACTGAGGCAGAGACTGAGGCAGAGACTGAAGCAGAGACTGAAGCAGAGACTGAAGCAGAGACTGAGGCAGAGACTGAGGCAGAGACTGAGGCAGAGACTGAGGCAGAGACTGAAGCAGAGACCGAGGCAGAGACCGAGGCAGAGACCGAGGCAGAGACCGAGGCAGAGACTGAGGCAGAGACTGAGGCAGAGACCGAAGCAGAGACTGAGGCAGAGACTGAAGCAGAGACTGAGGCAGAGACTGAGGCAGAGACTGAGGCAGAGACTGAAGCAGAGACTGAGGCAGAGACTGAGGCAGAGACTGAAGCAGAGACTGAAGCAGAGACTGAAGCAGAGACTGAGGCAGAGACTGAGGCAGAGACTGAAGCAGAGACTGAAGCAGAGACTGAAGCAGAGACTGAGGCAGAGACTGAGGCAGAGACTGAGGCAGAGACTGAGGCAGAGACTGAAGCAGAGACCGAGGCAGAGACCGAGGCAGAGACCGAGGCAGAGACTGAGGCAGCGACTGAGGCAGAGACCGAAGCAGAGACCGAAGCAGAGACTGAAGCAGAGACTGAGGCAGAGACTGAGGCAGAGACTGAGGCAGAGACTGAGGCAGAGACTGAGGCAGAGACCGAAGCAGAGACCGAAGCAGAGACCGAAGCAGAGACTGAAGCAGAGACTGAGGCAGAGACT